AATATGTAATAAAGTATTTTTTAGTCGTTTTAAAAATTTTCAAACTCTCGTTAGTTTTTTATATTATATTACGACCCCTTTTAATGAAAAAAGATAGTCTATAATGAAAAAAAAAATGATAACTTAAAAAAGTGAATAAAAAAAAAAAATTTAACCTTTTTTTTTAAAAAAAAACAAACGTTTGGATTAATGACTAGCATATATATATAGAAAAGCAAAAATTTAACAATCTCTCGGAGCAAACCATAATGGAGTTTCAAACGAAATGTTGTGACTATAATTTTTTTTACGTTGTACAAGCCAATCACAGAGACTCATTATTTTGTAAACTTTCAGGGGTGTTTACATAAATAATTTGTTATTGTTGAACTCGAAAAAATACTCTTTAAACTTTTTATATTATCAAGTTTCCTACTTAAGAACAAATGAAACTTCGCCTTCCGCACGGCCACAATGTTGATTACAAAATTGTAGAGGATCGCCCATTTCATTTTGTCTCCGTAACGAACCCTTAAAAAGATATCCAATTATAACATCGAAAAGGACAGGTCGTTGAACATTGTTTGATAATAATTCATAAACAATGACACATTATTCTCTTTAAATTTGAGTGATAAAACGGTTTTTTTTTTTTTGATGCGAATTCCCGCCATTTTAAGTGCCGCAGTACGTGCAGTTTTTACGTCTATGTGCATTATTTACAATATCCTTTGTTTCTAATGGCTGAAAACACGCACGTTGTAGTACGGTCAAATTAGGTTTAAACTTCTTTGGTGAACCACGTAATGTTAGTGATTTACTTTTCATATGCATTTTGACGGGTGAAGGGGGTCCTGAAGACATTGGAGAACTTATGGTACTCCTCGTTATTTTAGTTTTGGAAGATTTATTGGTTGTTGTTACTTGTCCTTGCTATTTAAAACGTAACAAGTTTAACAGATAAAAAAAAAATTAAGATATCAAAAGATTTGAGAAAATGCGAACAAAATGGAAACGAGATATTCGAAAGAAAGTTGTCTTGAAATTTTTACGAAA